GGTATCGCTACACAACCGGCATGGCACGCCGATTGTGTGTTGACCGGTCAACGTGCCTCCTTTGACAGTCGGCTACCCTCTCTCTCTCTCCCTCTCTCCCTCTGTCTCTTTTTCTGGCCCGCGCGTTAATTTATGGCCGATACCGATAGAAATATTCTCCCGTACGACTTCTTCTTCTTCCACCAGAGACGGCATACAGCGAAGATCCTTTACATTAAACGATTAATTAGTTGGACGGTAATTGGCGATCCTCGGCTGAGTCTATGTAATAGACAAAAAGAATAGAATACTATGGAAGTTGGAATACTTCACCAATTTACATTAACTACTTGACAATTTATTTCCTTTTTTGTTCAATATAAGAGACTTGATATAATATTAATTATTTTATTTTGTCGCAGAAGGAGCACGTGGACTTAAAAAAATGAAGAACATATAAATCGAAATATCCGGCAATAATTATTCCATGTAAATAATTGAAAAGGATCTGTTAAAAGGAACCAGTTGGTTTCAGGGTCCGCGGCGGGGTTGAAGACCGGAGTCAGGCGTGGCGGGGCGCTCGAAAGTAGCCGCGGACACTTGACTTTTAACGACCGGAATTTGTCGTGGCAGGCAGGTACACGATACGCCGGGGCTAGGAAGCCAATCAGGAAGCGAAGAAAGTCGAAGGAGACTAACGAGTCGTACCAGGAATGGATAAATAGGCAGACAGAGTCCCCAGGGACTCTTTCCGCGCCGCGACGAGTTTGCCACCGCGTGAGCTCGTCTCTTCTCTTCTCTCCCACCGTCGCGTTAGGTTCCGTACAATGTCATTGAACGTTTGCCGCGTGTACATGGTGTAACGCGAAAACGAACCGTCGAGTAACTTCGACTACGAACAGAGGTAGACGTGAAAAAACGATACAGGAATTCGTTGAACGAGATGCAATTAATAAGAAGTGAGAAAGTTCGTTGGAACTATGGGACTGGCCGAACGTAACGGGCGGGAGTAGCGCAGTTTAATCGGGGAACACCCTGTGAGTATGATGCTCGTCGATGGCTCGCGAATTGACCCTTACGGTACCCGCGAGAGACCGTCAATGGTTTAATTATGGCGAAGTCATTTCTCCGTTGGTTATTTTTCATTAAGAAGCACCACCCTTCAACCGGGGTCAAAGTTACAAGCGTGGTACGCGAAAAGGTGGGGACCGGGGCCTCGCGACCGGTAATTCTCCGGACCGTTCGTTAACGATCCTGACATTACGACCTGAATTAGATAAGGATATCTTTTCCAGAATGTCGTAAATGCACGAGGAAGTGTTGTTGGTTATCTTGGCCACGGATCGCTTCACAGTCCGTTATCGGTTCGTTCCGAGGGCGGCCGGGGGGGTGGGGGAGAGCCATTAAAACGATCGCGGCAAATGATCGACGTGGGAAGCTGTGTGCTTGCAAATGGCTGACACGCGTCCATGATGAAACACGACACGACGCCGCAGTTGAGGATTCAATTACGATTAGCTGACGAGGAATCGTGTGCCTGCCAGCTCGTTTCCTCGTCGAATCATTAAATTACTGATTCTTCAGAACGTCGTAACCAATTAGTAAA